CATTGGGATCTCGGAAACTATAGGTAGATATTGAATTAGAGCAAACTTGCGCATTTATGTGACGAAAAATATGCGGAAAAATATAATTAGTGTGAAGTAATCCACACTTTTTCAGCCACACTTTCTGACGAGTAGAGAATGTTATGTGATAGAATAGAATAGAATTTTATTTGACCAAGTTACAATTCTTATGTTTTTGGCAAGTCACTGGAAGTACAAAATGTTTTTCAAAAACAATTACAGAATAAAATAAAATATACACCTAAGCTATCACAAACATACATACAACATTCTCACGAATCTAACAAATCTAAAATATAAATTTTGTTGTTTTCGAAATGAAATCAACACAAATTATCGAGAAGTGGGGGTGTTTTCAGATATTCATCAATAGAGTAAAAACAATGGGACAGCATGTGTCTTTTCAGTTTCAATTTGAAGCAGTTATAATTGAGAATCTTGAACTCTTGAGGCATGAAATTATAGATTCCGATATTCAATGAATTCATTCGGGATTTGTTGAGCCTATATCGGGGAGGCCTCAAGTCGTTTGCCCCACGAGTTTGGTACTCATGAAAATCGGAGTTGGCACTCAAAGTTCTTTTATTCTTGTGAATTTCCAGAAGAGTAGAGTAGATAAATAGGGAAGGCATAGGTATAATAGAGAGTTGTTTGAAAATTTGTTGACATGGATCTCTGTAACCTGCACCGGCAATAATTCTTATCGCTCTCTTACAGTGTTGCCACTTTTCCATGTTCGGTAGTAGATTTCTTCTTGTCATTATACTCTATTTATTTTTCCATTGGTTAAGTAGCTAGTACTTTACTGTACAGAATACATAAAACCCATTTTTGGACAGACGAAGTTAAGATCCATTAGAGAAGTTCTGCTGTTCCATCTAGTTACAAAACAGACTATTTAAAAAGAAATCTATCATTATCATCTAACGAATAAAAAGAAATGAAATGAAATTGAAATTTCACGAACGAAACTGAGGAAATCAAGTAAATTCCAACTTAATATTCACTGTGTCCTTGATAAGGATGTCTATCATGAAATAGTTATTTATTATACAAGGAAAGAAAGTAGTAGATTTCAGCTCCAGGTTGTGTTATCTCCCGACGCGTAGCGGAGGGAGAAAAAAAACATGAGCTAAAATCTAATATTTTCCCCGTGTATAATACACTTTTTTTTCTGTGACAGAAGTAAGGACGAATCAATATTGAGAAGATATCACATTATTTTGAAATCTGAAAATTATCGACGTGAAATTACAAGATTTTAACAGTAGGGATACCTGCGTTGTATAAGCATCTTTATCATTCTTTTGAAGTAATCAAATATCTGATGTCACTTCTGTCAGTCTGATTCTGTGATTTGATTTCAAAAAATTGCGAATTTAGTGGTTGTTTAGTAATATACGTAACCGCGAAGTCGAATGGAAGATAAAAGGACTTGCAGTTCTTTCTCGGAGACGGTATTATTGACTCATTTTTCGGAACTATAGCACAACAAAAGCCAACAACAGTATATCCGGGAAAAAAGTACTCACTTTTTCCCCACGGGAAAAAAGTAATTTATGAAAAGTGACATTTTATAACCTGCCAACAGAGATGAAATGCCAAACTTTTTTCCCGTCACAGAAAAAATAGTTTTTATTTCTTTCTGGCGTTAAGTAAAGAGATATAGGAAAACAAGACACTTTCTCATTCCGTATATCATTGAATGTAGTCTTCAAACTAGCTCAAAGTATATCATCGATATGTATCATTTTGTCATATTAAAATATTTTTACATGCATTCTTCTCATTTTCTGCGAAAAGTGCCTTATCGCTATACATTGAAGTACCCTATTTCTATTTTCCATATACGGCTATGATTGATTTGAGAGAAAACGTAACCTCTAAAATCGTATTAAACAATCAGGCGTCATTAGGGAAATTGAAAAGATAAAGAGCAGAATATATGTCAAATTCTTCCATTGACTGAAGCATTGTAATTCGGAAAATAGAAAAAGACAGAAGTTCAGCTGTGTCCGAACTCTTATCTACCATAGATTAAACAAACCAATCTATGTATCTACTGATCATATCTATCCTCAGCATCATTCATAAATAAACTATCTTCTCTCAGCTGTCTCTTTTTTCCTATCAGGCTCGGAATTTGAATACAAGCATGTTGTACCATATCAATAGCCACATACAGGGTGAATAGAATAGAAGTAAATAAGAATAATAAAACAATCCCAGAACAATTGAGTGTTCATTGAAGGTGGGCATTTTCGACGTGGCAAATTATACCTACCCAAGAACCAAACTGCAATTATTTTATTATTTCAGGATCACCTGGTGTTGAAGGTTTGAAAATAGTTATTTATTATATAAGGGAAAAAGCTAGTAGATTTCAGCTCCAGATGGTGGTGAGCTGAAAGGACGACTCAATATTGAGAAGATATTACATTTTATTGAAATTCAACAGGAATGATACCTGCGTCGCAAGCATCTTTTTGCAGGCATCTTTATCATTTTTTTGAAGTAATCAAATATCTGTTAGTCTAATCGGCGAGTGGACTGATTTTGTTTTCATTTCTTAAATAAAATCAGAACTCAAATACCTTTCAACATCATTTCTTTTTGTTTTTATTAGTTATTCAATAATTCATTAATGCTCAATTATGTATTGGTAATACTTATTCCAAATTACCAATGAAAAATCACTTGTCTCAAAATATTCCCTTATCATTAATTGTGGCTTATTGCTTGTAATGAATTTGTGTAAATAATAACTACATTGATTCACACTAGAGATCATTTGAAGCGGCAAACATGACAACACGGCGCACGAATTGTGGGCGCGGCCTTGTCAGTTCTCAGCATTCAGCACAATGTGCCAAGTCTCCAACATTTATATGATATTTTGTTATAGAGCATAAGAAATATTTGGACATGCTGGTTTAGAATATTCCAAGAATGTACTATAATATCATGGGATCCTCATATTATCTTTTATTCGACGACAGGACTCGTAACATCTTTGAGTTGAAGTCAAGAAATTTAAATAGGTTTTTCAAATATCTCAAGAAAAATTGAATATAATGCATCCAAATTCGGTACATGGTTTCATCTTCCAATGGTTCATTTTTTGACCAGAAAGACATTCCGAGAATTTTATCCAGAGGTGCGCTACGCATGGGGTTGTGTTGTGACAACTTTTCCTCCCATATTTTCTACGCAACTGATGAAATTTCGAAAATTTTCAATTTCTCGAATTGTTTGTTCAATTATGTAGAAAAAATGCATCATCTTCAACTGAGCTAAAATGAACAGTTATCGAGATATTTGACCCAACATAGAAGTTTGCATAGTAATTTTTCATCTTCTTCAGTAGTAGAAGATTACAAAAATGTTTGTTTTCTCTTTATGCGTGGAATAACTATTTCTGTTCAGCTACAGAATGAGATCTCAATAGTATCTAATCTACTCAACACCAAAAAAATGTTTTTCAAATTTTCTACTACTGAAAATGATGAGATATTACTATGCAGTCTTCTATTTTGGGTCGAATATCTCGAAAAATGTTCATTTCAGCTCAGTTGAATGGGATGCAATTTTTTGAACAAAATTGAACAATGAATTCGAGGAATTGGAAAGATGTCGAACAGCACTTTATCAAGACTCCTTCATCCATAGAACGGCTAGGCTCTGGAATTCATTGCCTGTGGAAGTATTCCCAACAACATATAATCTCCAAAAGTTCAAAAAAAAATCCAATACCTACCTCCTGTCCCTATCCTCCCTAGGAACGCACGATGTTCTTTGAACATCATAGGGATTCACTTTCGTGTGCTCCAAGCGATAACAAATAAAAAAAAATTGAAATTCAATCAGTGCGTTAGAGAATATGTGAGGAAAAGTTGCCATACCCCCCTGTAGGGCACCATTGGATAAAATGTCCGGAATGGCTTCCTGGTCAAAAAATTACCCATTCAAATACAAATACAAATACAAATACAATACAAATACTTTATTCATCGCTGGAAACTTGTGTACAGATTATGAGAAGATAAAATATACGAAAAGCTCATTAGACTAGTCAAATTTAAAATATACAGTTAAAATAAGTAGGTAGTACAACAGTTATACATAAACATTACTAGTTAATACAGGTAGGTATACACAATTGACACAATTCATTACACTCATTTAAAAATTTAAAATTATTCACATTGCTAAAAATTCATCTGTACAATAAAATGCATTGTTTAAGAAATATGCTGTTAGCTCATCTTCAAATTTGGATTTATTTTCTTTGTCGCCGAAGAGATTTTGGAATTTGTTATAAAATTTTATTTGTTGATGGGTGTGAGAGTTTTGACTGACTGCGAGTCGAGATGAAACCATATACCGAAGTTGAATGCATTATATTCACTTTTTCTTGAGATATTGCGAAACAAATATTTTTATTTCTTAACTTTAACGCCCTATTTCTCGAGAACACTTGAAGATCGTATGTCCCTATCTCTCCCTAGTACTCACTTCAGTAATTTATGAAGAGTGACATTCTATAACCTGTCAAGAGATGAAATTCCAAACTTTTTTTCCCGTGACAGAAAAAACAATATTTGATAAAATTGATTAACTGACTGTACTTTTGTTAGACATTTTTCAACAAAATCTTGAAGAAAAGTACAGGTGGTCCACTCAAAAGAGACATTTTTTAAACAAATGGAAACGACTTATTCGATAACAAATCTCGAGGCAAATCTTGAAGTAAAGTACAGGTGGTCCACTCAAGACGATGATTGAGATTACTCGAAAATCACAATAGGTATAATCTATTTGGAATTTTGGTTTTCCAAAGTAACTACTCATAGGATAATCCATTCCTACGATAAGGTTCGTTGCACAATCAAGCTACAGGGCGATACAGAATTGAGTTTTAAAATATGCCACTTCACACTTCATGAATTCTTTGGATCCTTACTCATATTATGTTTATTACTGACACTCTTACACACCGATTGTTACTTTTTTTCAGATGTCAACCACACTGTGACGTTACCTGACTGCATGTAGCCAGACAAATCTATGGGAAGGCACAAAAGAAAATGGCGACCGATTCGAAATGCGTGAAAATCAATTTGGCACTTGACAATGAAGATGGCACCGAGACCGTCGCGTATAGCTCCAAAGGAATATGCTCTCCTCCAACCAAAGAAACTGAATCTCTCAACAACGCATCCGTTTTAAGGTAACAAAATAATTAAATACAAATGAATTTTTAATGTACCATGTATTTATAACGGACTAAAAAGTATGAAATAGTTTTTCTTATTCTTTTGAAGGATAAAGCGATATACAGATTAATAATTTTTTCTAAATTATCTGATTATTTTTTTCACATGTTAAAATGTGACGTTCTCGTTGTTTCAACCAATATCAATGCCTGATTCTAGCTAATCATTTCGTATTATACTGATAATATGTTAGTAGCAAATCACAGCGACAATTTTTTCACGTTTGGATTTCCGTTTAAAGAAATACATAACATACCCATAGACTGCATCGTTGGTCGATTATTTTGTTCGACAAGATTAAAACAAAAATGACCGAAGTGTGTGGATGTAAATTTTCGTTTTTGCTGGGCATTTCGGGAAATATTCGTGCATCTAGTTAAAATTATCAAAAAATTACCACCACTTTTGTAATTACTGTTGAAAATTCCGAAGTGAAAATTGTTTATAGCTATTAAAATACTGGTATGATTGGAAAAACATGGGGCATGCAGTATTTGATGCATTAATAGCTAACAATTAATTTCATTGCACCGCAAATAATGTGAACCGATTATTAAGTTATTTTTTCCACCACTATCTTGAGAAATCACCATTTATTCCATTATTTCCTCTATTGAGAAGTACCTAACACTTTTCAAAACTACATAAATTATGATAAATTGATACAGAAATGTTGCCCAGGTAGATAAAGATAAAACTGTCGACAGTGTCAAAGATATGCAATATACACACATAGATACCGATGCGTATGCAACCAATAAAAAATGAAACTTCCAAATATAGTTGAAACTACGAATCTCATTACAGCTGAAAGCAATTTTAGAAGTAGAAATTTGACACAGAATGATTGTTGTAAGGTTCATTCAAGGTTTTAAAAATTTCAACCTACCACTTCGAAATATTGTAAGTAACGGTTTGTGTATTTTTGGTTAAAAATATAATCTTGATACACTTGGGTTAGATACTTGTAATTTATATTTGGTATGAGATGTAATAAGATTTGGGCATTTATTCAGAGTTGATTTGACCTGACTGATAATTTTTGGTAATGGATTTCTCGTTTTCTATAAGGACCATCTTCAATGAGATTGTCAACCCTTTGAAAATAATCCTCTATATCCAAAATAACAACCTCATCGGCTTTTAAGTAAAAGTAGCCTTTTTCTCTCAATCGTTTGATAATATTTCGAGTTTTCCGTTGAAGGTTTTGATTATAATTGATTACATTTTTCGAAATTTGTTTTCTAACTGCTTCTGTTTCTTTTGAAGAATTACGGAGATATTGAATCGCGGATTCAACACTCTATTACTTCATTGAGACTGTCCTTTGAAGCAGAAGGAACAAAATTCGGGCCTCTATTCAAAAGATCAAGTTCCTCATCCTCATTACTAAAGGTTTGAGAGAAATGGTTTTCAACAATGGTGATATGCTCTTGATATATTGCTTTCGATTTATTTATTCCAAGTTTCCTCAGTTTTTAGTTGGGAGAGGAAAATTTCTGAATGTATTTTACTTCAATTATAAGGCATTTTTCTCTGGAACTCGCACCATTGTTCGACCAAGTTACTTAGTCTACTGCTGCGTTTAAATTTGTAACAAATCATTGATGGCGTTTATGTAACTTTTTCTCATATTTGCGTTTTCAGAAAAGCATCAAATCCGTGTAAATGTCGCAATTTGGAGAGAAGAAATTGAAAAAAAAACACCAAAAATAATGTGATTTACCGAATTACACTAAAGCTTTTTTCGGGATGGAAGTGTAGTTTTGATGCTTTTAGGGCAAATTTACTAAAAAGATTGCCAGGGAACATTACCAAACTATAATTTGTGAACAGAAGAAAAAGATACAACAGTTGAAAAAATAAAGGATGTTTCATTTGAAAAAACATTTTGACTATTTTTATTCATTTTTCGATTCGCATTTCTTTACTCAAGGAGTGCCAAAAAATAGTACAGATGAAACCCTACAGCTTCTATATTTGAATTTTTTCCACCTCGTATAGTTGAAGCTGTAGTTAGGGGTCAAAATATAAGGAGACACCCTGTATTTGTATTACTCTCTGCAAGAAATCGATAATGGTACCTACCAATCAATAACAATATAATAGTTCTACATTGTTATGATCAACAAGAAACTATTCAATAAGAATTCACAGATAATACAGAGACAACAGTTTCGAATAGTATAATATTCTATGTTTATTGTTTCTTGTTCAAACTGAAATCTTCGTTATGTAATATTTGTGTATAAAACCAAAGATTAAACAAACAAAAATTAATTATTATGTATTCAATGTATTTGACAAACAGCTTTATTATTTTGAACCGACCAAAAATTGTGAGAAATATTTACTTTTCCATTAGCAAAATTTGTTTCTTAGAATTCCTTATATTGTAGTTGATGGTAAAAATAATATGATAATAATATCGTTTGAGTAAGTACAGATAAAAAACAAGTATGTCATCACCGTTACGAAATTATCCTCGAAATTAGCCATATTTAATTTAATGTCTATTTTTTTTGTAAATGCTATCCCATTCTGAATAACCGCAATCTTCATAGATTACATAGTTATTAAAGTATTTTTTATCACGTTACCACTTACCAGTTTGTTCTATTGATGTTCTCGATGTTCCCACTTCCCATTTGAATAAAATTCCGAAAATTTGGAACATCAAATGAGTCAACATGAACCGAGATAAACAAACGTACTCATTTCAAAGGGATCACCCCTCGGATTACCCTCATTATTTTGAAAAAAATGTGTATACTTATTGTGTACTGTGTAATCAAAAATATTATTTTAAGGTTTTTGGAGGCGCCGAAAGTATTTTTTTCCAAATCAAACGTCCTGTATATTATGAAGTAACTGAATAATGTACGGTTGAATTCTACTTCAACTGATAGGGTTCCTATATCTCACTCCACAGGTTTTCGAGTTATGAGGGTTTCTTTATATAAAAACGTTATGAGAATTTGAATTCCATGATGGATATATAGCAATATAACATAGTAGGCGAGGCCAAACATTCACAACCGATATTTAAACAAGACTGTTATCTGTCAGAAATTCGTGAAATGTCAATATGCAGAATGAAAAGAATTTAATTATTTCAGTAGTGATAATTTGAATTTATTTTACATTCGTTAAATTCTTAGAATTTCGAATTACCAACTCTAGAAGCATTCACTATTTTAATTTCATATGACTGGTTTACCTACTACTGCACTTTTTTTAAAATTTTTGGGCGAATCCCTATTACTCCAGTGAAATCGAACATACAAAATTGTCGAGTAATAACTCATAACTTTGCATTTTTCGATATTAGATGTGATCTTTGAGTATAGTGTATATAATCAAGGATGTGATTGAAGTTTTTGAAGTAAAATTATCCTGCAAAAATGTCAGCTGAATTGAAACTCTGTGAGTTTAATAGCTTTGGAGATATAAAAAGCTGAATGAATTAAGTGGACCACTCGGATTATCAACTTTTTTTTAAATGCGTCCTTTCTGTTTAAGATTCATTGTTGGAAACATTTCGAAGTATTCCAGTTATGACACAACAAGTGGTCGAAAGGAGTGTTACATTATCGAAAAAGTTTAGAAGCTCCCGTATTTCCCAGGAATTTTTTCACCTTCCGCAAATCAATTTTCTCAAATCTTCAATTCAATATCTCAAACTGTTTTTGTAATTCCTGACCTTCTTTATACGGGATGTGAAATATCGATATATTCTGATATTCTGTATTTTTATGCATTTGTGTGGATTTGAAAAAGTTCAGGAAATATTCAAAACGTACTGCACTGTTATACGATCGAATTCATTCCTGATGGTGAAGTTATCCACCTGGCTTTAAAAGCAGCAGAACTTTTGACAACACAATGAGCGTTTTTCGAATAATGTGTGAAATTTTGTGAAATGGTCTGCTCATATTGATGCAGCTACAATAATGTGCTTGTGAAATTATGAATCCTTTATTCAAATGGATTGCCGTAACACACAGTAATTCATATTTACGGTGATCGTACTAGGACGGCCGCGGGCGTTGCGTGGAGAATCGGGGTATGAAAGCGGCGAATCGCCGTCCTTCGTACTACCAGCATTGGATTATGATTTTCCCAATATCTTCCTTATTTATGCTTCGATTTTCAAAATCGAATAACGGATCCACGAATAAAAAAAATCCATATTTTTTTATAAATTACCCCCTGCCCCCAAACGCACAGGACGATTTTTTTACGACAAGTGGATCCATGATCTGGAGATGGTAGGTAACAATTCTAGCCATGTCACAGCTTTTTACCTCCGATTTCCCACCAACTTTTGATCTAAGCGACTTACGATTCGTTTGGCACTCTACTACAATCAACATCTAGAAACAATTTCGGGATTTTCTAGATAAGTCAATTCCTGGGGCGGCAACGGGGTACTTTCGCATTATTCTCTACTTAACATGAATTAATTGAAGAAACGGTGATTTCCAGACATTCCAGAGTTGGTATGAAAGAAACCTCTATTGTTAGTGCACATTTCCTTCATCCCTTGGAAGAAGTGCACGTTCTGAGCAAGTGATTACTTTTCAATAATTCCAACACTCATTATAACATCCCATTAAAAAAGAACTGCCAAGCCCGTGACAACAACTGTCATTATCCTACAGTAATCAGTCTAATCATTGCTGGTTTCAATAAATCTGAACAGATAATGTAACTTCAATATGATTCAAATTTGAAAACTTCACAAACGATGAAAAATGATAAATACTGATGGTAAAATGAAATAAACTAACCTTGGCTTGCCTGAACTTATACAAGTATATCCTACTTTCCCAAATGGAGGATTAAAATTACCTGTGGAAAGGTTCGATAAACCTTCATTTTCAGAAAATAGGCACAATATCTACATTAAAATTCGGTATTTTAATGTAGATATTGTACCTATTTTCTGAATATCGAACCTATCCACAACTGTAAATTTGCCCTAATTCACAGTTGCAACTGTAAATCAGAACAAAAGCACTTTTTTTCTACATATCTCCTTATTTACAGTTGCAACTGTAAATTAGGCAAATGTTCGTAAAAAAAAAGTTTTTTTAGGGTGGAAGTTTAGACGCGTCGTACAGTTCAGACGCGTCGTAAGAAGCTGATGAGATTGTTGAAATCAAATGAAATTGATATATAAGAATCAATACAAAAAGTAGTAGGTATATAGACATGATTAAGTACATATTCACATTATTTTCTCAAAAATAAATATTATGTTCAGTTCTTCATCATCATTTCTAGGTCATCTTTCTCATGGGCGCTGCCCTCCCCCCTAGATTTTGGCCTTCCCAATCTGAACTCAAATAGCATCAGAAATAATAAATACCAGCTAAGATGATCTTAAAACCATCGACTTGGGTCTTCATTTTTGTGTTATTTTTGTTTTCATGTAGGTTTTTAACAATTTTCGTAATATTTTAAAACCACACTGTACTGAAAATTTGTCAAAATGATTTTGATTTCAATTCAATGTCACAATTGAAAAAATCGCGCATCCCCCTGAAGTGTTTACTGGCGGCGCCCATGACCTTCAACTTCTTGCATTTCTGCGAAACCGGTATCTTTATTCATACTGATGATTGCATATCATTATGATGTCATTTCGTAGAGAATGAAAATTAAATATGCTTTATTGTAGATCCTATCATTCTAACATAGCTAACGTTTGATTGATATTTCGATTTTCGACTTATGTTCAACAAACATTTTATCACTTATTGTCTACTTATCTAGAATAATAGGCTCAGATAAAGTTGCCCCCTATTCAGTGTTTGTATTCTTTTTTCCTTTTATGACTCTGATTTTGCTATCAACCGAAAGATCAGTGTTGCCAGCTGCTGAACAGGAAATGTCGCAAAAATACATGAAAAAAACCGCAGGCGAAATTTTCGAAAATTAAGCGACATTTTTGATCACATCTCATTTTCAGTTAGTTCGTAACATCGTGGTAGAACACTTCATTTATTCAGATTTGAAAAAAAAATTAATATAAATTTTCCTATATAATAGTACATTATTCATCAAGGGATAGAAATGCAAGATTTTCTTCGCCCTCGAGCTACAAAGCACACTGAGGAAAAAATAACATTCTGTCCTGAGGTGTATATACTATTTTTTATGCTGGCGTAACACTAAACACAAAAATTCAGAAAGAATACGTCAGTTCAAATAAGCTCAAAGTTTCACAAATGCAAGTTTCCGAAACAGCTTGCTCACAACAAAGAAATGGCGGCATGTGCTTAACCGGTTCTTTTGCGAATCATGTGGGCTGTCTCTCACCCTAATAGCTAAAAATTTGACGGTCTGGGAATTATTTGAATCCCCATCTGCCTATCGATGCCATATGGCAACGTACGGCGCTAATGGGTTAATCGAGGAGGTGGTACATTCATTATTCCAGATTTGTCCTTACCACACGAATATTGAAATAATATTCATATTCTCATTTTATAGAAACGTAGAAACGAGGAGAGAAAATCCCAAAAAATCTGGATTAATAAAACGTAATTAGAATTTCAAAACATGATCTCGCTTGGAAGAAAAAGTGGTTATGATAAAACCTCTCAAAAGTCATCAAATGAAGTGAATTCCGGTTTTTTCCTAAAATGTACTTACATAGGCTTTCGAAATTGAGCAATTTTCCGCTTATTCAACCGTGTCTCATAGGTATAGCTCACGAAATCCTTAATGATATAATATGAATTTCAAATTACCGTCACTCTGTATCTCTATGTATTTTACGGGATACATGTACAAAACTTTTTGTTGTTTTCATTTCCATTTGAACCGATGATGATTTTGTTTATCAGCGGAATACACCGTGTTTGTGACCCTGATGCGTGCTTTTAAATTTCCATCATGTTTTGCGATTCCAGATTCAGGCAATCATGAAAATTACTTCAAGTAACAGATGCATTACCGTAGCATATTTTTTCAATAGCAATAATTTGATGTTATCGATATTTTTTTCGTTTATTAAAACCAACTGCGAATTGCATCATTAAAATGACCTCGGTAGTGTCTCATGTTGAATATGTAAATGCTCGCTCCAACGTTTTTTTTTTATATAATGGGCCATTTGAATTAACAATACAATTAATATTCTACACAGTTCTTGTTTATATCGACAATGTTATTGATAATGTTCATGTGACCCCTCATTTCAAACAACATTAACATTATTCCAAAACGAATCTCTCGTGTCACCGAGAAAACACTTTGGAACCAAATAAGTTTGATGTTATGTGGTTCAAACTCGATAGCCAGAAACAGACCAAGTACCTTTGTTGTCTCTACTTATCACCAAATGATCCATCCTTCGAGTTCGTGTCCCTGAATCTTGACCTTATTCAGCAGATCCATCCAGCAGTATGAATAATCATCATGGGCGATTTCAATTTACACATCACTGCTTGGCTCGTACTCTCCAACAGAACGGATGAATAAGCTGCGGGTGCATGACAAGCCCAAGCTTTCGATATCACTCACGGCTTAGAGCGGCTTATCAAGAAACCCACACGAATGTCAATGACCATTCTGCCAACGAACTTGACTTATTCCTCACTGATAATTCAGCACCTCACACCATAGATGTACAAGCTCCACTTGTCAATTCTCATCTTACACTCATCTCTACAACCTGCCCATTTTTCATTCCATTAACTGCACCAGCAGCCCCACGTCTTGTATGGCACTATAACTCAGGAGACTGGGAAGGTCTCCACATGTTTTTCTCCGTGTTTCCTTGGCATAGAATGAGCTTTGATCCTGAGGATCCTTCACAGTGTGCTGTGAAAATATCCGAGATGATATCACTTGGAATGGACACTACATACCTCATTCTTCAAAAGGATCTTCTCCCTCGAAATCCTGGTTCGCCTTGAAACTAACCGCCAACCATCGCTAGCGCAAAAACCCAAACCACGTGACTGGAGCAGAATATGTTGAAGCCAGGAATAACTGCAGCAATAGATGTATCGAAAGGATCGTACAACGCCAAAATGAGATCAAACCCCATATAGATTGTCCCATTGGCTTTCGTTCATTTTGGTCCCTCGCTAAAGCAGTCGGAAGGAATTTTACTAATAGCTCATCCTCACCACTCTCTAAAGCCGACGGCACATTTAGTGTAGTAGATATGCGATAAAAAATGGTCTCAGGTGGAAATAATTCCCTTTTCTCAGTTCAGAATGCATATAGAATAACACATATGAGAAAATATAGAATGATACCTGTGTGCAAAATAAAAATACAGTGTTTCCAATATTAGTTTATTCGTTAATACTTTTAAATCATAAACCTTATAAAAATGGCATATTTGGCATGTAACAGAAGTTCATTCATTATCTTCAACTTCCTCGATTGGAATATTGGTACCTTCCCGAACAATTATTGCACAATACTGTGCAAAAAATTCCGTATCGTCGACATTTTCACTGGTTCCACAAGGTTCATCTACTTCAGTTTTCCAAGAACTTCTGTACGTCATCATATGATACAGAAAACCTAATCTTATGAAGTATGAAGTTCATCGACAAGTAACCGAGATCGAAAATCTCGATGATACTGCACACCAACACCTAGACGAATTGAACTTATGATAGATCGTGGCCTTGCAGCTTGCATTAGTGCCTGTTCAATTGAATTTTTCTCCAAACTTGAGGATTTTTTGTTGATTATTATATCCAAGAATGTTTTCAAAATGTCGGGTAAAAGCTCAGTATTTTCCTGCTCGGAACTTATTTCTTCTGGTGAAGGATAAAACTCTAAGGATGTTCCCATCAACTTGATCAAATTATCATAATCAGTTCAGCCTGTTGCTTCAACTATCCGAAATTTTTCAGCATCTGGATCTTCTGAACACTTTTGTCGCTGATAATCACAAATTATATTGGCAACTGTTTTCCCTGTTACGATCATATTACTTCTACACTTTTGTCCCAATATCATAATGTCGTCCGAGAAATATTCTTCTAATTTTTTACGCATACGACGAACAGTGTAAGGTTCGATATTTTCTGGTAGCAGCTCTGCCATTTTGTCCAGCAACTCCTGAACTGAATCTGGTTCATCATTTTCCTTGAGCCACCTGCATATTTCTTTAAAAGGCATCTTTTTTATTTTTATCAGAAGGACGTCCTGCTAACTTTGTCAGCTCATTGGGAATATCATGTTGATATTTCTTAGGAATAGAGTCGCCTTTTCCAAAATTCACACTACATTTCTGATTATCCAGAACATCTGCTGCTGGCAAGTATCGATAACGGAAAGATGACGGGCAAGGACATTTGAAAATCGTTTCATGCATCACACACATCAATAATAGTTTGTCCAAATGTGAAAGTTCGTACTGGTGAAATTGCAGATTTAATTATTTTCTGAATTTCCTTGATCAATTGGCCACAAAACAAGCAATTATCTTTGAATGCGAATGTCGTCTCACAAATCAGCTCCATCGTTTTCCTGATTTTTCCCGATTTTTCAGTGGGTCCCAAACCAACCTGTGCAATGGTGCCACTTCGGTGACGATAACCGGGGCCTTACGGAAGGTCCCGAACAGCAGCCCGAGCAACTGCAAGCGACCCACGATATCACTCACCCATCTGCCCAAGAGGCTACCGGTGGACATCCAGTTCAACGATTTGTCCTATTCGGTGTCCGAGGGGCGAAAGAGGGGCTACAAGACGATCTTGAAGGGGATCAGCGGGAAGTTCATGTCGGGGGAGCTCACGGGGATCATGGGCCCCTCTGGGGCGGGCAAGAGTACCCTGATGAACATTTTAGCAGGGTACAAGTAAGTAAAATCATTTCAAATTTCAAGAATGTTTTCGAAATATACTCAAAATTATTTTGATTGGATTCGAAGAATTATGAAGATTTTTTCAAAGTTTTGTAAAACGTTTATGATCGGAAATGAAACTTTGTCTTTATGTCATGATAGAATTGAAAAATTGAATTGACTATGTCGAATAGTTCTAGACAAAACGTTTTTTAGCTGTTGACATTGTTGACAATCTCGAAAACATCCAGGTTGATTGTTAATGTTTATAGGTCTTTCAAATATTCATCAGAAAAAAATATTTATGAGAATTTATGTACTGCTATCATTAGAAGATCAAATTGGCTATTTAAACAAGTTCTAAACGAAACATTTGTCACACTCGAAGTCATCTTCACACAATTTAATGACGTTGTTAAACAATCAGGGACATGTTTCGGTCTCAGAAAATACCATCTTCAGCCTAATACTGAGTTTTGATGTTGAAAAGGTTCCATATAGTTATCTAGTAATAGTATACAGGGTGTTTCACAGGTAAAGGGAAATATTTCAATGGTAGATAGGAGTCACCAAGGTGGTTCTGAAAATACCATATTTGATAGGTCTCAGAGTTTTCATAACGGAGATACAGGGCGATTTATCGATTTCGAATAATTATTCATTCGCCTATAAGTATTGAACCACCCAGTATATTTTTCTAAAATTTGGTATGGAGCTTAAACTTGGGACGTTGAATGCATTCACCTATCGGGCGAAGTGAAAATCCAGGTCCGGCTTCAGGAAAAATCTACATTTACTCGAAATATCAAAATAACACACCGTATGTAATAACAAAGTTCATCAAAGGAATCGTGAAGAGGAGGAAATACTGAACTGGATTGGATGCTTTTCGTTTTCCCGCCACCAATTCTCATCGTAACAATCATAAACAGGAAGCTAATAGTATGTCAATTTCAAGAGTATTAAAATCATGAAACCGCACTTTCAATTATGATTATTTGATATATTCTTGTTAAATGATCGTTCGAAAAAACTGACTTAGTCTCACAGTCTTTATAACAGAGATACAGGGTGAATTATCACTCGTCCATAAGTATTAAACTACCCATCGCAGTAATATTTTCTCAAATTTGGTATTGAGCTTACTTGGGACGATGGATTCATTGACCTATCAGGCAGAATGGAAATACAGGTTCAGCTTCAGGAAAAGTCTCATAGTCTTTATAACAGATACAGGGTGAATTATCGAATTATAATTCCGCCCGATAGGTTAATGAATCCAACGTCCCAAGTAAGCTACATACCATATTTGATAAAATGTTACTGGGTAGTTTAATACGTATGGACGAGTGAATAATTATTCAAAACCGATAATTCACCCTGTATCTCCGTTATAAAAACTGTGAGACTTGATAAGTTCTTCCGAGCGATTTTCTGACTAAAATATATCGAATAATCATAATTGACACTGGTTTCATAATTTCAATACTCTTCAAATTGACATACTTTCAGCTTTCTGTTCATGATTGTTACGATGAGAATTGGTGGCGGGAAAACAAAAAGCTTCAAATCCAGTTCAGTTTTTCTTCCTCTTTACGATTCTTTTGATGAACTCTGTCAATTATTACATACAGTGTGTTATTTCAATATTTCGAATAAATGTGAATTTTTACTGAAGCCGAACCTGGATTTTCTCTTCGCCCGATAGGTGAATGAATTCAACGTCCCAAGTTCAAGCTCCATACCAAATTTTAGAAAAATATACCGGGTAGTTCAATACTTATAGACCAATGAATAATTATTCGAAATCGATAAATCGCCCTGTATCTCCGTTATGAAAACTCTAAGACCTATCAAATATGGTATTTTCAGAACCACCTTGGTGACCCCTATCTACCATTGGAATAGTTCCCTTCACCTGTGAAACACCTTGTATACAGGTTATGTCACGACGAGCTTACACTATCTCTATATCGAGAATCAGTCGGGAGAAATCCATGAAAATAAGAATGCTTATATTTTAGAATACGATCTCTTCATTTAAAATATTTTCAGCAATACAGTGTTGGTTATTTCATAATTGGATGCCAATATTTGGGGAGTTGCTCTTGGGCCCAATCTAAGGAGAAAGTTTCATTTAAACGTATGACCTAAACGTTATAACTTTTTACATACAGGGTGATAAAGTTCTCAAAATTTGATAGTTTTTCATTAATATCTGTAACACCACTTCAGATATTCTGCTGAAATGCGGCATACATGTGTACCACATTTTTTGTTGTTGCCACCAGTGGCATTCGTATGAAATTTCACATACCTATTTTGGCAGACATTGATGGTACGCCACTGATTCATCTCGAAATTAAAATCATTCCTGGAATTCTCAATCATTCCTAAGCAAATTCGATCAACAAAATTTTTTCAATCCGATGCACGGTTTTCGCTAAAATAAAAAGCTTTTCACTAAATGATTATAGCAATATCGTTAATATCACAATATCACAATGCAGAGAAATAGATTTTATTTTTTAGATAAAATTTCAGAAATACAATTCATAGTTTATGAACTTCGTATTCGTATTTGGTATTTTGGAATTATAACCTTTCATTGTAGTAGGCTACATTAATTTTTGAGAACTTTACCACCCTGTATCTCAAATGTTAGGACGTTTAGGTAATATGTTCATATGAAACTTTCTTCTTACAATGGGCCCAAGAATCGCCTCGACATTCAATTATGAAACACCCTGTATATGACTGAGCGCCGCGCTTTCTCCGTCTCAAAAACGGTTGAGCGCATGAACTTTATGGAACAAACTTGTCGCAAATTTCATGCTCTAAAATTTGTAAAAAATGAGTCAGATAATCGCGGAAAAAACCGAATTTTTTGATCTTAACCTTAAATAACTTACGACGCAGACACGAGTTTTTATGAGACTTTTGAGACAACTTTTAGAACGTCAAAATGAAGGTGTATACTATAGTTTCCAGCTTATTATCTCTCATTCCGAGGCAATGATGATGTCTTTCAGAAATGCAAGACCCAGCGAGCACAAAAACATCTCAGAGATGTTAAAAGTGTGAGATTTCGAGACATTGAACCTCCACTGCGATGTTCTGTTCACACATGAATAGAACTATTATGGAACAGCCAATGTCCGCCGCAGGCGGCAATTATCGAGATGTCCCTGATATGTCACAAAACTACCTTCTCCCTAGTTCTTTTTAAAGCCTTTTCATGGACACAACAAAACATTTTCAACGCGTCTTGCGCACATTAAATCGCTGTAAAAAAACCATTCTCGAGGTACTTTTCTGAAGCCTTTTGTCAAAATGAACTTTTGCATTAGGATTCCATTCCCCTTGAATGAAAAAATGCATTAAAAATAGATTGAACATTAAAATATTTTCTTGATATGTAATTATACCTTCTTAATCGGTTTCTGAGTAGTGCTTACTACACACAGACATATAATTGGAAATAGGTTTCCCAATTTTTGAAATGTTCTCCACAATGCATAATTTTGCAACTGGCGGAGAAGCTGTGTATTATTGATAAATTCGTACTTTTATATATTGATTACACTGAGGCACCGAACAACACATCTTGCATCTGATGGTTATTATTACAAACTAAATAAGTCTTCTAACACAATAAACTTCACCAAATTCCTTTCTGTTCGTTAGCAGCGTGATGTAAGCGTGACTCGCTGCAAACGCGAATGCCAATTGCGAACAAGAAGAACAAAATCGAAAACAAATCAGAATTCATCTTATTGTGACGTGAGCATGAGACGTTGTGGTGAGGCAAACAAAGAAAGGGCACAAAATAACAAAAACAATACTTTCAATATCCTTCTAAGACCTCTTTGGGAGGTGCATATCACGCCTCAAAAAAAAACATCCTCATGCCTACATTTCTAAAACATCCCAAAACATCCCAGGGATACCTCTCAGTAGGCAACCAAAAAAATGCCACAGAAGAACAAAAACAATACTTCAATATCCTTCAAAGACCTCTTTGGTCAGTGCATATTCATATTAAGTCTCAAAATAACATCTTCATGCCAACATTTTCAAAACATCCCAAAACATCCCAGGGATGTTTGTGCTCGCTGGGGATGCTCATATTTTGCAAATTTATAGGACGTCGAATTTGAGTGGCCAAGTAATGATCAACGGGAAAGAACGTAATCTACGGCGCTTCCGCAAGATGTCGTGCTACATCATGCAGGACGACTGCCTGTCTCCCCACCTCACCGTCAAGGAGGCCATGACAGTGTCGGCGAATCTCAAGCTTGGCAAAGGCATCACGAAGTCCGAGAAAAAAATAGTCATCAACGAGATAATAGATACTTTGGGGCTACAGGATTGCGTGGACACGAACTCGGTCAGTTTATCAGGGGGACAACGGAAAAGGTGAGGCTACGGCACTGAAAAAATGCTAAAACGTATGGAAATTATCAAAATCCTGGCCATGAACGATAATCGTCTCCCCAAACTCTGCCTCACTAGACAAATACAGCTGTAGGGTGGCTTCGATAGATTCAACTGGCTTCTCCAGATAAAGAATATTTTTGAACTCGCTGATGCACGAGATATATGGCACGATCAAAACTACAATATCTTGAAGAGTAACAAGAATTTACTTCTCTATAAACTCTGCTAGAAACTTTTCGAGACAGATCCATCTTTAAGTCAACGCTCCACGTTTTTCTGCCTTCACACTCCTTTCCTCTAATACAATTTTTCCTCGAAGTTAACCACACAAACCGGTCAACCATAATTTAACCAGTTGTATGACGTAGGTAAAAACATAATACGATTACAATTAGCCATGCAATAGGCCGAAGTTTGACAAGTGCAGCTTGGCCATGGGCAGCAATCTGTCGATCTGTCATGTACTGGGCCAGAAGGCGGCCAGAGAGTTAATATTTGCTGGGCTTCTATATATACCTTTCCAACTTCAATTTCGGAATCGGTGAATTATATTTCGGAAAAAGTAATCTCGATTTCAGAATTGGTTAGTTCGATTTCAGAATCAGTGAGATGAATTTCAGAAAAAGTCCATTCAATTTCAGAAATGGTAAGTTGTATTTCAGAATTGGTAGGTTCAATTTCAGAAAATGAATCCTTATATATGTTTGAAATGTTTTCAATTGCAAAAGAACAGATTTTTTACAGTGGATGGAATGGTGTTTGATAGCGTGCGTTTGAAACGGACATCCTGTAGATACCATAGTGGTAGTTCTGGATAATGCACCTGCACAATCAAGAATAGAAGAGATATGCATGGAGGAAGAATTTCAAGATGTTATATTTTGCAGATTGGCACCTTTCAGACCTATGTTGAATCCGATCGAACATATATGGAGTGCCTTCAAGTCATAAGTGAAGAGCTTTTTGCGAGAGCATCGCAAAAGGGTCATAGCTGGGGATCCGAACAGATTGCTCAACCAGATAGAATTCGGACTGCGATGTCTTGAAGAATGTGCAGATCATTTAATGAAAATGATAACAACTCAAATGTGTTTGCATTCTTATAATCATGTGTAATGCTACTATCCTCTGCGATTCGGATGGAAAACATCTGTGGATCAAATTGAGATTATAAATATGTTATTGAATTGTTTTTGAAAAGTTGAATATATTGTGAATATAGTTTATTGATTTCATATGCAATTGCATTTGCATTTCAAACAAGTAAGGATTTATTTTCTGAAATTGAACCTACCAATTCTGAAATTGAGTTTACCATTTCTGAAATCGAACTAACCAATTCTGAAATCGAGAAATATAACTTACCGATTCCGAAATTGAAGTTGAAAAGGTATACAGGGTGTCCGGAGATAAAACCGACAAGACTTGTGGGGTTATAGGGACTGTCAATATGATTGCAGAATGCCATAAACCAATGTCCGAAACCGCTTCGTTATTGACATACAGAGTGATTTGTGGATTTTGACAAAAAATTCAATCCGCCATATCAAATACAGGGATTAACCGATTAGATTCAAATTTGGTACACGAATTACACTAAAAAGCATCAACAAGTAGCCCTTTGATCGAAACCAATATCAGGACCGGAATGATATTTTTCCCCAATGTTGAGTTATTGTGAGAATTACTCACCCTGTATAATAATAACCAAACATTTCAACTCAGATTCGACATCCACGGTAAAAATTTAATAGGAATTTGTTGAAAAATCTCTTGGCACTATCTTAGTTATCCCGTAATTAATTATTATTTTAATTTTTTTCTTTCAAAATTCAATTATTGTCGGATAAAGTACTAACAAAATTGGTAATATAATAAATATTAACGAAACCATGACATGAATATCGTTATTTTCTTCAATCAGTCCGTAAATCGTAGTAAAATGAAATACTCTCATCACCCGAAAAAACTGAAAAATAAATCCGTATCAGGACTGGAATGCGGTTTTCTATGATCATATTCCTGTAAGAATAATATTTTTTATAATATTTATAATATAATATTTATTTTTATAATATTTTATAATATGATAATATAATGAACTATAACAATAACTTTCACTAATATTTCAATCTACAAACTTTGATATTTTGTTGAAATTGGATTTTGATCTAGCTAGATAGATGATCTAGCATAACAATGATCTGATCGCAGATTCGGAATGCACTTTTAAAAAAATGATCAGATTGAACTTTCAAATAATAAATCCGTATCAGTACCTTATAATGTTTGTGTATAAAGAATACTAGGCTTGTGTCAAATTCAGAATTTCATTATGGAAAACCATTGTTCAGCTGTCATCAGCGTTTGTTTTATTGGTGTTCATTCATTATTCCAGTGTTTTTAGGATCAAACTATAGTTTTGAGAGTGTGCTTATGATGCCGTTTCATTTCACTTATGAGGAATACGCAGATATTCTATTTGTGTTTGGGCTTTAACTGGTGATGTTTACCTAAATTTCCTGGTCAATACTTGACCGGATCTATTGCAAGGTGATGTAAATACCTGAGGTATATGGTTTCAGCATGATGGTGCTAGACCTCACTTTTCAGTTCCAGTTAGAAACCATCTCGATGCCAATTACCCCAATGGATGGATTGGCCGTGGAGGTTCAGTAAATTGGCCACCGCTATCTCCTGATCTAACTCAGCTAGATTATTTTTTATGAGGTCATTTAAAGTAAGAAGTTCATAATGAAAATTTTTTTATGGGAAATTACTGCTGCATGTGTTAGTGTTAGAAATAACCCTCAAATAATTCGCAAGTCAGTGAATCATCTAATAGCACGCTCTCAAAAATGTATTGATGTTGGAGGGCTCTACTTCGAAAATGTTTTGTAATACTGGGTAGTGAAAGTTTTTCACGAATTCGTTGCTTTTGTTTTGTTCATTACAAACAGTTATTGTTCGTTGTGTAGTATTCTCATAAATTCAAATTCATTAGTGAGCGAATATAAATTACGAAAACTTCACTTAATCCTTCTTTCACAGGTTCTTATACGAGTTTTTTAGATTCCGAATCTACGATCAGATTATTGATAACTATTGATGTACTAGGTCAGCTAACATGACCAAACAAAACACTCATTCCAGTCCTGATACGAATTTATTCTTCAGTTTTTTCGGGGTATGAGAATATTTCATTTTACTCCGATTCATGAACTGATCGAAGAAAATAACGACATTCATGTCATGGTTTCGTAAATATACGTACTTTATCCGACAATGATTGATTTTTCAATGAAAAAATCAAAATAATAATTAATTACGGAATAACTAAGATGGTGCCAGGAGATTTTTCAACAAATTCCTATACAATTTTCACCGTAGATTGCGAATCTGAGTTGAAATTTTTGGATATTATGATACAGGGTGAGTTATGTTAACAATAACTCAACCTGGTGGAAAAAAATAATTTCGGTCCTGATATTGGTTTCGATCAAAGGGCTACTTGTTGACGCTTTTCAGTGTAATTCGTGTACCAAATTTGAATCCAATCGGCTAATCCCTGTATTTTATATGGCGGATTCAATTTTTTGTCAAAATCCACAAATCACTCTGTATCTCAGTAACGAAGCCGTTTTGGACATTCGTTTATGGCATTTTGCAATCATATTGACAGTCCCTATAACCTCATGAGTTTTGTCGGTTTTATCTCCGGACACCCTGTATATCTATTCCATATCTATTCCATGTCGTCCAGGTTATCCATAGCCCTGGAGCTGGTCAACAACCCCCCGGTGATGTTCTTCGACGAGCCCACCAGCGGCCTGGATAGCTCCGCGTGCTTCCAGTGCCTGTGCCTGCTCAAGTCGCTCGCCAGAGGTGGCAGGACTGTCATTTGCACCATCCACCAGCCTTCGGCCAGGCTGTTCGAGATGTTCGACCAGCTGTACATGCTGGCCGAGGGCCAGTGCATCTATCGAGGGCCCGTCATGAGCCTGGTGCCGTTCCTGTGCGGCATGGGCCTGAACTGCCCCAGCTACCACAACCCGGCGGATTACGGTGAGTGGTTCATCGCAATCAATCAATGTTGAAAAAGAATATTCTCAGATATACAGGCTGATTTTAAAATGAGTGCATATATTCAAGACATATGTTTGAGAGAGTCTAACAAAAATTACTAAAATATTTGATTTTTCCTAAGTCTTCACATTAACGAGAAATTTCATTTTGAAAATTGAACATGAAATGCTTCGAAATTCGAGTACGCCACTGGGAAGCAAGTGAAATCTGCGGAATCCCAGGGAATCCCCAATTCGTTATTCACTAACGTCAAAACAAGACAGTGATGCCAGATTGTTTCAGAGACGAATATCCTGATAAAAATTTGTCACAGAATGAACATGAATTGAAATAGGTTATGGAAACTAATAGAGGTGGATGTAATATGTACAGGAGCCTTATTTTTTAAAGTTAACTGAGAGAACTGTGGGGTGATTATCTCCATGGATCACGAGAGACGGAGAGAAACATGAGGGGAATGATAGAACGTCCCCCTTCCTTCAATTCGAAAATAAGGCCCCAGCGGGTAGATACAAAATTAGCAGACAATGAATAGGTACACAACATACACAAAGTTGAAAATCGACTCACCTAGTAGATTTTCTCATACCTGCTCGAACAGCAAAACTCCCGAGAGCAAACAAATACTAATATCGAGTCCATTCCAGACTAATATCGTCCTGTGTTCTTGTTGGTTCATATTCGCACTTAAACCATCGAAAACGACTCGACGACGACATATCCTTCCTGGCAATCTCACATTGAAAATCACGATCACGACCATATCACGATTATCACGACACAAGACACAACATCCAATCATTTTATTTTTTATTTTACGTTAACAATTATTTTACAAACCAGCAACCACACAAACAAAACTATTATCATATGATCTGTCAACATCATTTCTCAGAACAGTAGTATCTGTGACCATAGATTTCCTCTTTGCTGTGACCTTTGACAGTACTAACTAGGATTGTTCGCGTTCAGAAAAAAAACAATCCGAAACCGTCAGAAGCATGCACAAGTCCACAGAACCCAAAAAAATCATACAGTTCTGTGAAACTGCGCATGCTTCTGACCGTTTCGGACGCAAGAATTCAGATGACCATGAATTACTAATAGGTGATTTCTAAGGATCAATCAGAAACAGCAAAGTAGCGCCTGCGTGGTTGTGATTCATCCTGATTGGACACAGCTCATTTTATTTGTGAGATAAGTGCATATAGTGAGGAAGGATCATTTCATTGAATTGAACTAATATATTTTTTTCCAAGTTAGTTATTATGTAAATGATAGTTTCATTCAAAGAGATGATCCTTCCTTATTATAATACAGTAATCTCAATCAGCTGTGCCCAATCAGGATGAATCGCAACCACGCAGGCGCTACTTTGATGTGTCTGATTAGTCCGTAAAAATCGCCTATTAGTTATTCATGGTCATCTGAATTCTTGCTGGTAGCACACCATAAGAACAATCAAAACAAAGATCCTTTCTCGACAGTTTGTTGTTCTGAGAATGTATGTTATTTTGGAAAACGTCAAAACGTGATACTAGTAAATGTAAAGTTTTGTTTCTGACAATTTGCTTGGAATGTGAATGTGACGATGCATTTCTCAAACATTGAGCTGAATGATATGGTTCTTATGTCGGGTCGTTATTGTGCGGGGCCCATGAGACTCCTCGAAGAACACGAAATTGTAGCGATGCAAGGAGGTGGAAGGAAGGGTCTAAAGGATTTTTCAGTAAAAGAACTTCCAACCGTGAGGTGTTAAGTTATACGCTATTCGAGCTTATGTGTAGAAATCTTGGGTGAGTCCATTTTAAAGTTTTTGTATTATCTTTCTGAAATTCAAGACCAGGGTTAACTTCTTCCCCATGTACATTTTCTCGATTATACATTTTATTTAATATCTCCTAAGTTTCATGTAGAGTGGCAACGTCGCTTCGTTCATCACGGTCGACTGCGGATCGCAAACGATAGTTGTGACAGAAGTAGAAATCTGGGCGGAAAAAGGGTATTTTGCCCCAAATCTATTTTGATCCTAATAATATCTTTAATAGTGCTATTCGGTAGTATACCTCAAGCTTTCTTAGTGTTTGAAATATATGCACTTATTTTAAAATCAGCCTGTATTTATATAAACACAAAAAATGAAAAAACTCCAACGCCACGCGTGAGAGTCGAAGTCACAATCTTTGGGATACATGCCCATTGTCACTCGAAATTAGGGCTTTCCATCTTCATAATTATATGTATCTTTTCGGTCGAATAACCGACAAAAAATTATCGCTCACTTCTATGTATAGAATGCTTGCGGACATTTCCGTATACAAGGAAAGACAGTGCCAGAGGACGAACGGGGAAAAATGGAGACTGTATAGTACCATCCTATCAACGATGCTTCATATAGTGATAGTGCATGATTTCGAGTGACTTTGGGATTTGGAGGGATTCTGCCGCCTGGTGTATGATGAGAACTCGACCGTCCTGCCGATATGGATCGACGGATGACCCGTTAGCTCAATTGGCAGAGCGTTGGGCATGTAACCCAAAGGTTGTGAGTTCGACTCTCACGCGGGGCGGTGGAGTTTTTTCATTTTCCGTTGTCACTCGAAATCAGGGCTTTCCATCATCTTCATTATTATTTTGTGCTATGCACTTTTGACTTTTGTCTTTGCTCCAAACTATTCTGTAAACTATTTTCGTTTAGTGATGGAGGTCGCTTGTGGCGAACACGGAGACTACGTGCACAAACTGGTGGTGGCCGTGAACACCGGCCGGTGCAACAGGTTCTCCACGCCCAGCCGCGACAGGACCAGCAAGATCATCTCGAACGACATCGCCAAAGAGACGGCCATCTTGACGACCGCGGGGGACGCCCTGGCGCTGCCCAACGGGTCCGGCGGTGCCAAGACAGCTCCCAACCCCGCGACATGTACCACATCCCTGTTGGATTCCTCCGAGAATCTGCCCCTAACGGAGAAGAACGGTGAGTAACATAACGGTACACAAATACCTTGGACGTTCCATGTAATAAAGATCATGTAATGTACTTTAAATGTTCGTGGGAGCTCTCTGTAACCGCCAAATTTCCGCAACACAGAACGTTCACACTACATACCAGTAATATCGCTACATATCTTCTTTACGATATTGCCAAATGTATAACCATGAGATGTTAGTTGTTTTTCATGGATGGAAGCAATGTAGGTAGGTACTAACGTTATTATTAGGTGAAATAAGTGAGGGATCTTTACCATAAAATGTTCTTTCAATATTAATTTTCAATATTGATGTAATATTTTTATTATACTTACCTTTTTATTTCCTTGAGATCCAACATTAAACAATTATGTTTTGTTGTAAGACTATTTTCCTAGTTTCTATAAATTTTCAACAAAAATTGAAAAGTAACAGGGAACACGGGTCAAAAACCAACAAAGATTTACATCACACTATACTTCTCAAAAGTCGCCCCTATATGCACATCTTCACTATTTTTCATGTCATACATCAGCTGAAAAGCCATACCAATAGAACACCACGTGAATAATTTGGAGATTTATTCACAATTTTATGTTTGAGATTATGTTTAATTGTTTTATACATAAGTACCTTGAATAAAACAATTGTAATGCACGTTCACTTCCACACCATTTTTGTCACTAGATAGATAGATAGATAGATATAGATAGATACTTTAATTGTATATGAAAAGAATTATAATTCTTATTACAAGGGTTGAGCTTAAGCATATTTGACAGAAGTGTTGTAATAATATGGTGATTTGTTACACACAAGCCGAAAACGCAACTATATACATTGAAAGTGAAATACATTGAAAGTGGTTATACATTGAATGTGATACACTGTAAGTTGAAAGTAGTAAATCATTGAAAGTGGTAAATCGTTGAAAGTGGTAAATCATTGAAAGTGGTAAATCATTGAAGGTAGTAATACATTGAAGGTAGTAATACATTGAAAGTGGTTATACATTTGGGGGGGTAATACATTGAGAGTAGTAATCTATTTACTTGAAGAAATGATTAAATGAGAAAAAAGACGATTGAATTGAATATAGCGAAAAGAAAACAAACCCAATAAGCTCAGCAAGACAAGTGGTGAGCAGTTATCACAGGCTCATTAGCCCTATTCGTTGATTATGAATGATCTTAATTTAAGTATGTTCATTATCACGAAAACTAATTGCTTGAGAGATGTGAGCGGACCATAATTCAGGACGTATATCAAATCATTCAGGTTTCTCATCTCTAGAAAAATATTTGACATTCGTATACCTTCGTATATAGGGCACTCGAATAAAATATGATATAGAGACTCCTTTGTTTTCATGTTGCATATTCATATTATGCATAATTCTTCAGTGTTGATGAAGTAATTTGAACCATCAAATGTAAATTTCAGAAATTTCTTGCTGCATGTTCTCATTTGTGCTAAAATTCTTACTACGTGTATTGGAAGGGAGGCGGTTAGATAGTTCTGTGCATTTACTCGTAGAGACAGACTTTGGAAAATATATGGATATGTGGATAGACTCAATCTCTGCAAGTCCTCACTGAGAAGTTTGCTTTTGAAAGCATTTAATATCGAATCAGTCAACCGCTTCGAGGTACTATTCAAAAAAGGCTGCCATTTGTCTATTTGCCCATTTTTGTCACTATGTAGTTTGTACTTGATTTCTGTCGAAAATCAGAGGCTATACCAGCAAATATAAACGTATAACTACTACGACATATCGCTTAGCTATCAGGCTATACTTTTTACTTTCTCTCCCGAAAGAAAAATGGCGTGTCAACTAAAGGTTATATATGTTTACCACCGTAAGTACGTTCGGCGCACATCTATTGGAAACTTCTAGGTTACATAATGACGAGGGCTAACATTATTTTTTATCCACCACATCGCGCCACTGAAACGTGAGGTTACAAGTTATCGACGTATAGCGCGAATCTTTTGAAGTACTTATTGTATTGTTAAATACTGTCTATAGGTTAATCGAGTATAGGTGGTACATTCATTATTCCAAATTTTTTGGGATTTTCTCTCCTCGTTTCTATGAAATAAAAATATGAATATTATTTCAATATACGTGTAGTAAGGACAAATCAGATGATTTGCCCCAAAATGTCACTGCGTTTGAAGAATGTTCCTATCAGAGAACCTAAAAGAAAAAATTCACTAGCTTGTCAGTGACAATTTGTATTGAAAAAAGTTTGGTTATATTATATTTTCACTTATCTTTGGACGTTTCTGGACCTCCTTAAAGTTGAATTATTATAGCTATCCCACAAATATCACAGGTATGGACCACTAATCGATGTCGCAGTGTGACGTATTTGTAATATTGAATGTATCTTGTATATGACCTGTTGGTGATTTTCAATGTGGTGGACCATTTCATGTTCCTTGAGTCGGACATTTTAACATCGCCAAGTCGAATAGATAACATCTTTATGACTTCAAATGCGATATCGCATGTCGCAAACTGGTGTCGAGCATACATCATCTATATATACAACTCATGATTGGCTGGGCTGACGTTCTAAGACAAAATTTTTTCTTTAGGTTTTCCAACCACTGGTTTCCAACAATTCGTCATATTACTGAAGAGGAGCATGTACATAATTCTAATGGACAAAACATTGACTAGAATGAGAGTGGTGGCTCATTTCATAATAGGAATCCTCATTGGCCTCATCTACTATGACATAGGCAACGATGCTGCCAAAGTTATGAGCAACGCCGGTTGCCTCTTCTTCTGCGTCATGTTCATGATGTTCACTGCCATGATGCCAACAATACTCACATGTAAGCTATATATTGTAGTCTCGGTTATTATAGTTACACAAGGTGATTCAGTGGGCAATATCATAAGTTGACGGGGCTTGCAGGCAAAGCTAAATTATGGAGAAAGTTCAAATGAATTTTCCTCTATAAGTATATAATATCTTATTACCGAAAAATAAGGGTCGGCAGACCGAACTGTTTGTTTATAGAAGATATCCACAGAAGACCAACTATCCTGATTTTCAACTGTACCTCTGCTTTTATTGCGAATAAAATGCATTGTAAAAATGTCGAGTATAATGGAAGTATAGGTACCTATATCCAGTGTACTTAGCTGTTGATCCAGATGCCCACATAAAAATTGAGGCAATTTCAAATTCACATCACTTTTTCTGAACTACCCTTAGTGCTAATAAGGTATATAAGTACTCATTGAATTTTGATAAGACACACCCACATCGTGATCGAGAAAAATTCAGAAATGCATCCAGCGGTTGATACGAAACCTATTTTATTTTGTTACTTCCATTATTTATTTTCAATTACTTTTTAAAAATTCATATACGCCCTTTATTGATCTTTGATTGATTGATTTAGTTGTAGGTGTCGGTATCCAAGATATTTATTTATTCCAGTTATTGCATTACATGTTTCAGTATCATGTTTTATAGAAATGACATACATAAAGTACGTATATATAATTTTTCAGAATGGAATAACATGAATAATTAGCAGTATTTACTTATACAAGTTCATTCATGAATCATTTACTCTTTTGCGAATATGAAGTGGAATTCATTATTATGATATAATGAAATAATACTACTGATAATAAACAAAAAAAATGAAACACAAGGTACATACATGAGGTCTATGAGTTCTGATCATTTATTTTCATGAGAATGTATTTTTCGACTTTACCTTTGATTTGTATGCTATTTATAGAGTCTTTAATATCATCTGGTAAATTATGGGAGATATCTTTCCTTTGAGGATGTTAATACATGCTTTTCTTATGTCAACTTCTCATCAATTCAAATATATACCAGGGTATTTGGTATGGGTATATAGTTTGTTTCGAAAGTTAATTTTATATTCTAATGTTCAGATCGATATGTTTTTTTATTCAATGAGAGCAAAATAGTTATAATATTAGCAATTTAATTTTTTCATTTCATCTTATAGTATATGATGGTCAAAATGTTACAATTTTTATGGAAGTGCAATGGATAATTTTATAATTTTCTTGCAGTTCCAATGGAGATGTCAGTTTTTTCTAGGGAACATTTGAACTACTGGTATTCTTTGAAGGCTTACTACCTTGCAAAAACTTTGGCAGATATACCATTCCAGGTCAGTATCATCAATATTCGAATCAATAAGCCAATTCTAACGAAAATATATTAAATTGACATTTTATTTTATTTTTCAGATAATTCTCACAACATGTTATATAGTAGGTGTTTATTTCATAACATCGCAACCTTTAGAAGCTTTAAGGTTCGGTATGGTGCTACTAGTCTCAGTTCTTATTGCTTTAGTGTCACAAAGTTACGGTTTGCTCATTGGTGCTGGATTCAATATTGAGGTAAGAAACTATAGCCTAACTACTAATAATTCGCGAAGTCATCTCCACGATATTTTAATATGATCAAACAGATCAAATTACTTGGTACATGTTTCGGACATATATATGTCCATCCTCAGCCCATAGATCTACTACATATCCTGGACAATTAGTCAATGATATAAATAATTACCATTCTGAAAAATCCATTTCCTTTTGAATCTTACAAAACCAACCCCGAAATGTGAGGTTAATGAGTAGCTATGGAGTTAGCCATTTAAGACATCTATCAATCTTCAGTAAGAGAACAAGGCGTAAATTCCGACACGGTGTTGAGTGTTTGGCAGAATACCAAGTCTGTATCCTACATAACTTACATAAATATTTAAGTTACATAGATGGTCGGCAGAATAGCAGCATCTTCAAGTGTTTCTCTCAACTAAGAAAGCCCAAAGGTTATAAATCTGTTGCATATACGCATGCGCATCCAAAATTATTCAAGTCGTAGAAAGTTCTTTCCCAGAGGCTCATACTGCTTTGGACCGATTCGAAACTACGCCCAACTAGTTCGTGTGAATTCGACAGTCCTGAGAAAACGCGAACAAACCTTTAGTTTAGTTAGTAATTATGTCGGTGGTCTAATCATTGTGAACGTCTTCATCAGGGAGGCGTGTTCCTGGGCCCGATATCCACCATACCGATGGTCCTCTTCTCCGGCTTCTTCGCCAAACTGGACGACATCCCCTACTACCTAAAGTGGCTGCCCTACCTCAGCTACCTCAGGTACGGCTTCGAGGGCAGCATGATCGCCATCTACGGCCTGGGCAGGCCCAAGCTGACATGCACCGTCACGTACTGCCCTTTCAAGTACCCTGAGACGTTCCTGGAGCAGATGTCGATGAAGGACGACATGCGCACGTACCTGATAGACGTGGGGGTGCTGACAGGGCTGTTTCTCTTTCTCAGGGTCTGCGCGTACTTTTTGTTAAGGCTGAAGCTCGTGCAGAACCGATAAGTGGGGTTGGGGTGCTCATTTTCTTGGTTAGTATTGTATCATTTTGGTGGTTTGGAGACATAGGGACACTTGACGTGAAAGTTGCTATCGAAATAATATTAATATAGTTGAGAGATGAATAGTCACTCTGGGAGACAAGCTCCTAATCAGAATTTTAGTGAGGACAGCATGATTGCCATCTATGGCCTAGGCAGGCCCAAGCTGAAGTAACATACTGCACATGCAAGTACCCTGAGAGGTTCCTGAAGCAGATGTCGATGAAGGATGACATGTACACCTACCTGATAGTCGTGGGTCTGCGTGTACTTCTTACTGCGGCTGAAGCTCGTGCAGAATCGATAAGTGGGGTTGGGATGCTCGTTTTCTTGGTTAGTATTGTATCATTTTGGTAGTTTGAGGACGTAGGGGCACGTGACGTGAAAGTTGCTATCGATATAATATTAATATAGTTGAGAGATGAGCAATCATTCTGGGAGAGAAGCTCCTAATCGACATTTTAGTGAGTATAGTATCAAAATATCATAGAATTCTGTTCTGGATAGGCTTTAATTGTTTTAGTAATGGTTGGTATGAAGAAGGTAAAATTACCAATAATTGAAAAAATATCAAAATTACATTCATGCACTTCTAGATTCATGCACTTCAGGGAATGAAAGGGTACTTTCAATCACTCATTTGAAGGATTTGAGTGGCACTTCAAATCCCTCAGGGATTAAAAGTGAACAATGGCATTTTTTTCTCTAACGCCATAGCAAACTATTTAAGGCACATTAATTTTCGATTTCAACAACAATATGATAATAACCACCCATCGATCATCAGAGTTGACATTTTGAAACTAGAGTACCGCTACGAGTACGAGAGTGCCTTTCATTATTTTCTTGATTATTTTATATCAAGTTTTTCCACTCCTGAAGTGAATAAAATAATAAATAAACCACGGGACTACAATTCCCGATAAGAAAAGTTAGTTAGTCTCATGCACTCATCACAAAATTCGTGGTTTTCACAAAGAAGAATGATACTATATGAAGATGCTCATATTTGTCGTGTCGGTAAGAGACAATTAGCGAGGAATATAAGCAGAAACTGTGAAATGAAACATGGCAACACTTTCAAAAAGTGCAGTGAAAGTTGAAGATTGTGTTTGTGGCCAAATATTATTTTGGTAGCTTTGAAAAAAATCAACTCACTATAATGTAGGATTTACATATCCACGGAATTTAATTTGGCATTATGGGATTCAACCGTTTTTTACAAAATCTCAATGAAATAATTAACTGATCGAAAAATTCTAAGGATATTTTCAAACGCAAAGGACATAGATATATGAATGAGCCACACCACATTTTTCCTTGGAAAATGTCATCATAGCAAAAATACAGCAAAAATACAATATCCTAATTTTTTTTCGATCAGTTCATATAGAAATTGAGAATAATAAGAGTTGAATATCATGAAACAGTTGTAGATTTTAATTTTCGTATTTTTTTCCTGAAGATGAAACAAATTTCAGGACGAGGAAAATGGAATTCCTATAGTTTGAAATTCAAAAATTCGAACGCAATGACAACTTTCAAGTCATAGTGCTGATTCAAAATAATTTACTACGATACTTACAATACATGACCTCTAATAATACATGACGAATTTCAACGCAAATAAGAATCATGTTGAAATACTTTTTGTGAATTCATGTTGTCCTCTCTCAGAGCTGGGAAACTTCTCTGGAAAAAGTATATGATTTTAAAGTATCAAATACTTCGAGTATATCGAAAAGATTTGAATAGTAAATATTTTCAGTGGTCAATAAATATTTTCAGTGGTCAATAAATGTTTAAATCATAGATACAAAAGTTCTTAAATAGTTCACAGTATTTAAATATTTTGAGACGATTCAAATAATCTCAGGGTATTTAAACCTTTACGAAGTATTCGAATATCCTGAAAGTAATATCGAGGGAACTGTAAAGTGACTAGGAAGAGATTATTGGACATAGCTCTCTCGGTTATTTCTTTATGAGAATATACCCCAAAATATTCATTTAGTATTACTCCATGATTTTTCGTTTCAAAAGTAGAGGAAATCAAGTCTTGGAGTAAGTATTTGATGCCTAGTGTTGGGGTATTCCGATACTTCACATATTTACAAATACTTTTCGAAAATATTTGCAATAACTAAGTTATATAGTCCAACAAATTTTTGTAAATATAAAAATAATTAACTGTACCAAAAAGCATTTAAATAATAATTATGATATTCAGATACTGACCAGTATTTGGAAAGTATTTTTGTAAATACAAATAAAGCCCAGCTCTGTCCACCCTACTGTAAATGCTATTACAAATAAATATCAAACATGGGCATTCTTGTAATTATCTAAACTACTGGGTGATTAGCATTTGTAAGAATCTTAAAAGTGTTTAACTAGTCATAAAATTTTTTAACGAAAATATTAGATGTTTCCAAAACGATTTTCGATTTCAATGCCTGTACAATCTCTTGCATCAAGTGAAAAGCCGATGATTTCGTTTTATTTCAATAATTGTTGCCAATCACAAACTGTATGAAATCAAATGAATTATTTGACATTTCATGAAATGACGGATTTTCATATAAACACTTGAAACACATAGCGCAAGTTTGATTACTTTTGAGAGAGATGCATAGTAATTCGGGAGTTCAACCATTTAGTCATCATTTTCTCCAAAACTTTCGAAAATACGGGTTGTTTCAATTATTATTACATTGATACTGTGTTTCGAATTGAATCTAAGATGGCAGTCAAATACTTCAATACTCTGATGTTTCTTAACTCCGTAGGTACGCACGATGTTCTTCGAACATCATAGGAATTTACTTTCGTGCACTCCAAGAGATAAAAAATAAGAATCTTCACATCATTGGGAAAACACTATCACCAGTTGATGCATTCTAAAATAAATGCAAATCACTCTGTATTATAACATATAGATCAACAAAATTAATTGATCTTACATCATCGAATTTTGGCCTTCTCGTTTCAAGTGAAACGTGAAACGATGTTTCTCAAACTGGTGTACCTTTTCAAATTTCACGTTTACACATCATTGAAAGACCAATGCTTCTCCTTAAATAGTTACTTGATATTATTATAAGATAGTATTAATCAAGGTGGGTAGAATTGTAGTTAAATATTACCTGATATATTTTCATTTACAACCTGGGAATTTTGTTAATTAGTAGAAACCACTCAGATTTCTTTCTGCAAGTATATGAACTATTTATCATTATCAAGGGTTCTGGACAAAACAGAGCATTTCACCTTATTAATTGCACCTTAATACAGGTGGCAGTTACAACAAATTAGTTAATTATTTCATCACCCAGTATATTTTTGACGACTAGAACACTGATTGTAAATGTATATGTAGTATTTCTTTTTCCAATATTCCTCAAAATTACTCCTTGGAGTGGGCCAAAGACTGAACCTTTCAACACCCCATAAATTTGTTGGGTCTTTACAATCATTTTTCTAGTCTTCAGGCATTTAAATGTATTTTCACTTGATTTAGGACCCTGAGGCAGAACAGTATATTATAATAGTGTTTACAATTGTGATAGATAACTCAGTAGTTATGGTTATTTTTATTTTGTGATAATCTAGTAGATTATTATTGTGATTTGAGGGCTAGAGATTACAAAAAGCTGTGTCATTTGTTATATTTTCAAATTATTCAGTTTCGGAAAGCTGTCATTTGATATATTTTTATTTGTATAAATATATTTGGAAATTATGGCTAGAGATTACAAAAATCACTGATATGATTCAAATTCTATAGGTAATTATTTATTGGAATCGAAGCTAGAGATTATTGAAATAGCCCAGTCGACTTAGCCTCTGAATTCACGATCAGACCGGTAGTTTGAAATTTATAGGAATTGCATATTCAAGAGTGGTCTTATTTTTTATGAGAGGTTTTTCCTTTCAAAAATCAATAGACTATGGGTTATTCCTGACAAAACAACAAAAAATATTATACAGGGTGTTTCACAGGTAAAGGAAAATATTTCAATGGTAGATAGGGGTCACCAAGGTGGTTCTGAAAATACCATATTTGAGAGGTCTTAAAGTTTTCATAACGGAGATATAGGGCGATTTATCGATTTCGAATAATTATTCATTCGTCTATAAGTATTGAACTACCCAGTATATTATTCTTAAATTTAGTATCGAGCTTAAACTTGGGACGTTGAATTCATTCACCTTATCAGGCGAAGAGAATATCCAGGTTCGGCTTCAGGAAAAATTCACATTTATTCGAAATATTAAAATAACACACTGTATGTAATAATTGACAGAGTTCATCAAAGGAATCGGGAAGAGGAGGAAAAACTGAACTGGATTTGATGCTTTTTGTTTTCCCGCCACCGATTCTCATCGTAACAAGCATGAACAGAAAGCTGAAAGTATGTCAATTTGAAGAGTATTGAAATTATGAAACCAGAGTCAATTATGATTATTCGATATATTTTAGTCAAAAAATCGCTCGAAAGAACTTACTTAGTCTCACAATTTTTATAACGGAGATGCAGGGTGAATTATCGGTTTTGAATGATTATTCACTCGTCCATAAATATAAAACTACCCAGTAACATTTTCTCAAATATGGTATGTAGCTTACTTGGGACGATCGATGGATTCATTAACCGATCAGGCGGAATTATAATTCGATAATTCACCCTGTATCTCTGTTATAAAGACTATGAGACTTTTCCTGAAGCTGAACCTGTATTTCCATTCTGCCTAATAGGTCAATGAATCCATCGTCCCAAGTAAGCTACATACCATATTTGAGAAAATGTTACTGGGTAGTTTTATACTTATGGACGAGTGAATAATCATTCAAAACCGATAATTCACCCTGCATCTCCGTTATAAAAATTGTGAGACTAAGTAAGTTCTTTCGAGCGATCATTTAACACGAATATATCAAATAATCATAATTGGAAGTGATTTCATAATTTTAATACTCTTGAAATTGGCATACTTTCAGCTTCCTGTTTATGATTGTTACGATGAGAATTGGTGGCGGAAAAACAAAAAGCATCAAATCCAGTTCAGTTTTTCCTTCTCTTCACGATTCCTTTGATGAACTTTGTCAATTATTACATACAGTGTGTTATTTTAATATTTCGAATAAATGTAAATTTTTCCTGAAGCCGAACCTGGAATTTCACTTCGCCCGATAGGTGAATGAATTCAACATCCCAAGTTCAAGCTCCATACCAAATTTTAGAAAAATATACTGGGTAGTTCAATACTTATAGACGAATGAATAATT